CCACCACACAACCCACAGTGCTTCACTGTCCACTGCAAGCTGGACAGTGAGTTGGAGTTGTGTTTGCTCAGATGTGTTCTTTTCATCTGTGAGATCTGGATAAGTGCTGTAAATCTTATATCAACAAAAGCCCGAAATTACTTAGTAAGACAGCATTCATTTTTATATAAAAACTTTAAAGAAGAGGAATGGAGGAAGGAACTTTCCTGAGGCTGATAAAGAGCCTTTACTTCTAATGCAGAGCCCACAATGCAATAAAGGAGCATCCCATTATTCCTGCCTTCACACACCTCCTCGCAGTATTTATGGAGCGCACATGCCAGCCACTCAAGCGCGCTATCAGGCACTTGGGTCATAAAGACAAAACGTCACAGCCCTGAAGGACCTCAGCAGATGTGGTGGGACCCTCCCTGCATCTAGCACAGTGCCTGACACATGGCAGGCTGGATGAAGAAATGAGGTCCGTAGCCCTGGCTGGGTAGCTTGGTTGGTTACAGCATAGTCCTAATATGCTACAGTTGCAGGTTTGATATCTTGTCAGGGCACATACAAGAAGAAACCAATGAATGCGTAAGTAAGTGGAACAACAAATCGACCCCCCACCCCATAAAATAAATAAATAAAAAAAAAGAAGAAGAAGAAATGAGGTTGATTCCAGAATGCTGACTTGCAGGTGAAGGATGCCTATGGTCACAGGCTGAGTCTTTGCTGGGGAGTCTGGGATGGGGCCTGGCACATGTGCACATTCTCACCCCAAATCCTGGTAGCCCTGGGTTCTGTGAGCTACACTCCCCTGAGGGGAGAAACAGTTTGATGGGGCATGTTTCAGGTGGGCGGCGTTTTTGCATTGCAGAGAGGGAAGCAGGTAAGATCCGGGGACTGACGTTTGGGGTTTCAATAGGACATCGCCACTAACCAGTGTCTTCTGCTTCTGAGAAAGCTTGCGTTTCTGTTTTTCCTGTTCCTGAGTATTATCGGCTTCTGTTTGGCAGGAGTCATCTATGGTCACTTTTGAAGGCCGCAGGGGTGTTCTGCACAGAGAAGGGGAAGAAAATGGTGGGTGATAGAACCCTGAGTGAGGAGAGCACTTCCACCCTTTCCTGACCTACAAGGCATGACCTCCTCTGATCTCAGAGCCAGGCTCTGGGTCTTCCCAGTGCTGCCTCCAGATTTCCAGTGATGCTGCCAACAAGCTCCTGGTCCTGATCCCAAACCAGTTTCCCACATTCCCAGAAACCTTCTTGTCACCAGAGTCTCACCAACTCCTGCTGTGGTGCTATACCCTCACCATGAACCCAGAGAACACTGTGGACCTATATTTCCATTCAGTGTTCAACTGTGGCTGAGATGAGTTTCGTGTATGTGATTGGCACACTGTGGGGTGTGTTAAGAAAGGCAGGTGCTATATAGGACAAGAAGAACAGGGTCTGGGGCCTAAAAGTCAGGAATCTCAACCTTACACTTACTGGCTGATAGGGCCTGGCGGCTGACACCTGCGGTTCCAACAGAACCCACCTTGGGCAAATCATTTAACCTCTCTAAGCCCAGTTTCCTCAAAAGGAAATGGAGACAATTCTTGCTTTTCCTATCTTACAAAGTTGTGAAGTTTAAAAAAGCGCAAAAGAGATATGCAAAAATAGGCTGTAAACTGCAAGGAGCTCCACAATTAATTATGACAGCAGGATGGGAGAAAAGTGGATCCTAAGGGGGTCTTTAACTCTAGGCCTCTTGGGAGAGCCATCCTTGGTCAAGCTAGGAAGGCATTTCAGGGTCCTCAGGGAGAGCTGCATGTGAATAGCAGATCTAGGTGAAAGAAAAGGAAGAAGTAGCCCTGGATGGTGTAGCTTAGTGGATTGAGCACGGGCCTGTGAACCTAAGTGTCACTGGTTCAATTCCCAGCCAGGGCACATGCCTGGGTTGCAGGCCAGGTCCTCAAATGGGGGTGTGCGAGGGGCAACCACACATTGATGTTTCTCTCCCTCTCTTTCTCCTTCCCTTCCTCTCTCTCTGAAAAAAATAAATAAATAAATTCTTTAAAAAAAAAAAAAGGAAGAAGTAATTCCAGCAATGCATGGTGTGGAGGACAGGTGATTTATGCTGCCAGACAGACTTCTGTCTTCATTCCTCTTACTAGCTGGTGACCTTGGGCATGTGGTTTAACCTCTGAAACTCAGTGTCTTTGTCCATAAAGGCGAGAGTAGGTCTATTCAAACTCCAGGGAAGTTGAAAACAGTAATATGAACCCCATTGGGAAACCCTGCCCAATAGGGTTTCTCAGTCCTACTCCATGGAGCAGCGACCCCCCAAACTCCAATCTCTGTTGTCTCTATACTGAGCAAGTGCGAGCAAACCATGTTGAAAAGCAGCTGGTGTGGAAAAGGAAGGGCTTTTGCCCAGATGCTCCCGGCTTTGAGACAGGATACAGCAGATCAGCACTCCTGCTCGCTGGGGTCAAATCAATACCTTCCTGTCAAGACTAATCCATTTCCCAAACTGTTTTTCTTACTTCTGTTGGAGCTACCACGTACAGCAAGGTAAGCAAGAAGATTTGGGGGAGCTCTCCAAATTCTGGGAAGTTGTCACGTGGAAAGGCTCAGTATGTAACAGATGTTAGTTTGAATGTCAAAGGAGACAACAGGCAAAAACACACCTGCAAGTAATAGTAATTTAAAAAACACCTGGCAGAGACTATATACTTATCCAAAAAGCTTAGGATGCTCCTTTAATATTTTATTTTTATTGGATTTATTGGGATGACATTGGTTAATAAAAGTATATAGGTTTCAGAAGTACAATTCTATAATCTGTTATCTGTATGTCGTATTATGTGTTCACTACCCCAAGCTCCTTCAGTATTACATTAAATATTTCACACCAATTCTCAGGGGGGGGGGGCAGGAAACAGACATCTATATTTCTACTTTAAAGGTGGAGAGAATGGAGTTATTTAAATAACAGTAGACAGTGGGGTTGTCAGGGGGTAATTATGTCCTGGTATCGGGTGAACTCAAGTGCTGAGTTCCATCCACCAAGTCGCTGTGCCCAGATGTGAGGATGAAAGGAGAAAGCCAATGGAGAAGAGAAACCTGCCCCAGGGAAATGCACAATTCGAAGGTCCCTTTTAGAGGGTCCTCCTGACATATAGCACTAAATTCTGGCCTATCCTTCATCACACTGACTCTGCTCTAAGCGGGGCTGGAGCAGGACACCCTCCACTGTGCCTCTAAAGCAAACAGTGAACCTGGCTCCGTGTACATCGTCAAATATCGGTGAAGGAAGAACAGGGACAGGAAGGAATGTTTTGTACTGCCACCAAATTCAGCCTCAGCGATTACATTATGCTTCCTTCCTAAAACAAATGGGAACTCTTTTTCTGAGTCTGTGTCATGTCCTTTTCAAACATGGCTGCAGCTTCCAGAATCACTCCCGGCTGGGTGACAGCACTCAAGCTTACCGTCTGGTTTTTGTACATTCATCTTAGCTTTGGATCAAATAATCAAATTGGCATTTAATTTCCTGACTTGTGTAGGCTTTCCCTGTCAAGGCAGCAGACCTTGAAGAATTAGAGTTTAGGTGAGATCAGGTTTTTTACTTTGGGAATGAGTAGAAGGGGGAAACTACAGTCATTCAACATTTATGGGATGCCTGTTATATGCAAAGGCTATGATGAGAACACATATTTTGCCTAAATGTTCCCAACGATGTGATGTGGGCTGCTTCATCCCCATGTATGAGATATAGAAGCAGAGGCCCGGAACTTTAAGGGCCTTCTCTGAGGTCCCAAAGATAGAAAAGTAGCCAAAATGTTTGTTTGCTTTGTGGCTTTCCTGGCTAATTTTCAATGCCCAGAGGCTACCTCTGAATACAGGCAGGGGCTACCCTGAGACTGTGGCATGTACCTGGTCTGCCTGGAGTTCACCAGCAATTTGACAAGTATCTGTCATAAGCAATGGGTGAAGAGGGAGTTTATCAAAGAGCTCAGGTTCAGTCTCACATGGCTGGATTCAAATCCTGGCTCCACCACTTACAAACATACGTAAAACACGTGATCTCTCCAGGCTTCTATTTCTTCATCTGTAAGATGGTGATGTTACTACCTCGCAGAGTTGTCGTGAGGGTTAAATGTGGAATATAAAGCACTTGTCACATAACAGACACTCAATACAAACAAGCTAGCTGTTACTAGTGGCGAAGTGCGCCTGTCCTTTTCCTAGCACGTAACGTCCTCACTGGGCTGACAATTCACCCGAGATTCTGTTTCTGCACCACCGATCTTACAGTGCTGGAGCCCCAGATCAATGGACAGAGGCGGAGGGTGCAGAGGTCCGGATCACGTATCATTTTCTTTTTCTGTATTTGAGCCTTCTTCTCCGCCCTCAGCCCGGCCAGCGCCTACCTGGACGTGGTCGCGATGCTGGAGCTCCGTGGAATAGGAGAGGCCATGACCCTCCGACAGCCGACACCCGCGGCCTGTGAAGCTGAGGTAGTGTACAGTCCGTCGCCATGGCGACCAGGCCCCAGCAGCCCAATGGCGCGGGCGGGGTCAGGGTTGTGTCACGCCCTCGTGTCCCTTGCCCGCGGCTGGGAGGAAGGCAAAGTAACAAAAGAGGACTCGGACCTGAGAGCGGGGTACCCTCAAAATCAATCACTACAGCAGATTTGACCCTAGCTACCAGAACCGAAGCTCGGGGCTAAACAGAGGCCTTGGGGGAGTGAGCTAAACTTACGGGCCCGAGCCGCGTTGCTAGCGGGAATGGTAGTTTTCAGTGTCCCAAAGTTTCGGCTGAACAGGGTCATGGCTAAGCAGGTTTGTACTACAGCTCCCAAAGTTCCTCACCAGTCCGAGTCGATCCGCCTCTGTGGAGCTCTGCATTGTGGGATATAGAGTTCGAAATGCGGCGAGGCGTGGCCGTGTCCAAAGCGAGATGCGGGACTCGGACTCGGTTTCCCTGCGGCCCCGGTAGACCTCCGGATCATTGGCTGAGCGGGGCGGATCTGGTCCCGCTCCTCCCCGCCCCCAGTGACACAATAGCAGCTCCCTCCAAGATGGCGGCAGCGACGGCGGACACTGGAGCTGGGAGCCCGCAGGCTGGAGACTCCTCCGGCGGGGCCGCTGGGGGCGGGCTGCCGTCCCCAGGGGAGCAGGAGCTCAGTCGGCGCTTGCAGCGCCTGTACCCCGCGGTCAACCAGCACGAGACGCCGCTGCCGCGCTCCTGGAGCCCCAAGGACAAGTATAACTACATCGGCCTCTCCCAGGGCAACCTCCGCGTCCACTACAAAGGTATTGGCCTGTTTTGCCGCGGCGGGGGGAAAGGCCAGAGCCTCTGTGGGGAGGCTGTGCTGCCCATCCCCTAGCCCACCACGCCCCTTCCCCAGCTCTGTGTTCCGAGTTAGGCCTCAGCCCCTGCGGGTGTCCAGGGTGGTTGGACTGACCAGGCCGAGGGTCGAGTGCCTCGTCTGCTCATCCTAGAGGCACCTATGTCAAGAGAACTGCAACAGGTGTCCAGACCCAGTGCTGGGTTGGACCTCCCTCCTGAGAGCCTTTCTGCTTGTCCTGGGATGGCTCCAACTCCATCTGGGCCCTTCTTCACCATTGCTTAGTTTCAGCAGTGTCTGAAGAAAGGGATGATTATATCTTCGCCAATAGCCAGAGGCCTAGGGGCTTGCTCACCTGCAGACTCACAGACTGCTCCTGGGGTTCTGTGCTAAAGTTTTGGGGGGGTGTCTTCCAGGGCTGCCTCTTCCTCTCCTGGTCTCCCAGGTGGGCTGCCTGTATTCTGGAGAGACGACTGCTAACAGCAGTGGGAAATCTCTCTCTTGCATCCACATTGCCTGTAGCCTCCTTTGGTTTGTATTCAGCTAAGTCTCAGGCAAGGCTGCTATTCTCAGGAGGAGGTGAGCCGAAGGTGGGAGGTCCATGTGTTTGCTCAGTTGTTGTCTGATTATTCCTTAGACTGTGTAAGGGCTTCCTCTGGCCATGGAGTGCTGAAGTTGCCATGGAGCAGAGAAGAATGAGGTCCCCATTTGCATTTTCTTGTGCTGAAATGTATTCCTTGCCCTCTCCAATTAGGTCATGGCAAAAATCACAAAGATGCTGCCTCAGTGCGTGCCACCCACCCCATACCTGCTGCTTGTGGCATTTATTACTTTGAGGTGAAGATTGTCAGCAAAGGAAGAGATGGGTAAGTCCCTCCTTGCCGCTTCTTTCCCCCAACACCAAGCTATTCCCCGTGGTCAGAGTTCCAGGTCTCCTGGCTGACACTCATGAGTGTTGTAAGCTGCTGAGCCACATGGGTCTGGGCTGCAGAGGGTTGAATAGTGGGGCCACCTCTGTCACCTGACTGTGGGCACGGCCTGGTCTAAGCATCAGTCCTTGATGGCAAGTAGGTGCATTGCGGGGCAGAGGAGGGGACTTCTCTTTAGTGATATTGTAATGAGATACCTTACAGGTCAGGGAGACAAGTAACAAGTTTGCATTAACAATTCAGCGTCCAGCTTGGGGTTCCCCCCACTGAAGTGTGGTGTTTGTGACTTCCCTCCTTTCACACCCTTGCTGTTTTTAAGGTTCTCTTTTTTATGGCATGTGATCATAAAGAGGCCCCAGTAGCCTTCAAAGGGATAGTAGAGTGTCCACAGCATTCATCACGGCTGCGGCAGCTACTGGCCTGTCATTTCCAGGTAAACAGCAGGCACAGGGTCAGAGTCAGGTGACTTTATGCTGTGCATAAACTTGTTTTTCTAGGGACTCGAACACCAGTTGGACCAGCTTTAGGAAGGCCCTCACTGAAGTCAGCATTAGGGAGGCTCCCTATTTTAGGGTGATCTAAGAAGACAGGAAATCAGAGGGAAGATTTTTCATTTTTCTTCTTCCTTTTCCCAGTCTCCCTTTTTTCCAGTGATTGTGACAAAGCAGGTGTTGAAGTTATGAAACAGCATGATTGCAACTGTCTTGTAAAGGCTTTCCTCTTAGGTCTGATGTAGGAAGTTTGCCAACTGCCCCCCCACCCCCACCCCACCACCGTGACCTTCGTGCCAGCCCTGATTGTGTGTTCTTAGACATCAACTGTCCCCTTGTGGTGCCAGGGGGCTATAATGGGGGCAGAACTGCCAGAGTCAGAGCTTTGCCTGCTTTCTCAGTGACATGGTAACATCCCTGCCTCTTCTGTGCTGTGGGGAGCTTGGCCTGCATGTACGCTGCTTTTAATCCCAGAATTCTGTGATCCTGAATCCTGATCATGGCAAGCTACTGTATTTTTTACTTTTATATCCATCTAGTGTGTTTACAGATAGGAAACATATTGTATTATTGGAGAGCTTTAAAACTTGTATTTTCCCTTTCCACCCTCTGATAAAAGCATGGATTATTAATGTGTTTGAACTGTTGTGAATGAGAATGGCTTCTTAAAGGAAACACTGCAAAAAGAGTTACAGTATAGACTGAAATGTTGGCGCTGGAGTCTCATATGGCCAAGGAAACCAAGGGGCATTTCTTAAACTTGTAGGAAGGAAAATGGATTGTTTTCTCTGTAATCCTTATCATAGAAAACAGCAGAGTTAATGAGAGAAGAGAACCGTTTTTCAGAAGGGGAATGTTTAAACGTAGAGACCTAGGTTCCTTTAGCTGACTCTTAATGTTTCAGCTGTAAGTGGATCTTGCTGGAAAGGTCCCGAGTCTTTGTTAGATTGCCTCACTGTAGGTGTTGCCTGTAAAATTAAACAAAGTTGGACATCTCCTCCCAGGTTCTGTTCTTGGCATTTTTACATGCAGTAATTGTAGCCAATGAGCTGACCTGGAAACCTCAGTTTTAAAAAGGTCCCAGGTCATGTATGCCTTGGTGGCCTGCTTCAGTTGACCACTGTCAAATAGGGAGTATGTGAACAGCCCATCGTGGCCTTTTTAGGGAGTTTCTGAGCGCCTTCTTGTGGCCAGGGTGTAGCCAGATGTTGGTATGGGCCAGTCGTGGTTTCCAGGAGACCAAGGGCAGTGTCAGGACAGACCATTAATCTGCCTGTTTCCTGTTACCTGTCAGTGTTAGAGGTGTGTTTCTGCCCCAGGTTTGGTGCATGACTCAAGTGTTAGCTGGTTGAGTAGCTTTTCTGCATCATCTGGTTGATACACACAGCATCTCTGGAAAGTGTCTGGGACAGATGATGATGGACCTGTGTTGTGGGTGAGCCCTGAGCCCCTGAGATGTTTGGTGACCTGCCCTGGCTGCGGGTGTTCAGGGCTGAGGGTGTTCAGTAGGGTGGCCTCACTTGTCAGATGTCCTTGCCTGATCCCAGACATATGTCTCTCCATGCTGCCACTGCCTTTCTTTATTGCATTCCTTCCCGGGGTAGAGTGATAGAATGTCCAGTTGGATTCTTAGGGGATCACAGTGTTCTTAGGGGACAGGAGTAAAAGGTGCTTAGTGCTGAGTGGGGCCGGACAAGTCTGGACTGGGTTTGATTGACTTACCATTTCGTTGAATCTGTAAATGTGTGATTTTTTCCTTTTTTTCGTTTTAAAATGTTTTATTCATTTCTTGAAAGAAGAAGAGAGGGAGAGAAACATCAATGTGTAATTGCCTCTCGCATGCCCCCTACTGGGGACCAGGCCCGCAACCCAGGCATGTGCCCTGACTACGAATTGAACTGGCGACCCTTCAGCTCTCAGGCCAGCATTCAATCCACTGAGTCACACCAGCCGGGGCTGTAAATGTGTTTTTCTATAAATTTGAGCATGAGCCTCTTTTGTAAAAGGTGTTCGTGAACCCTGTTATCAGTATCATTGTTTTCCAGAAAGGTCTTTGTTCTATGATACCTTTATAGAAAAACATACTAAGTACACTAAGTTCATCTAATTGGAACAGTTTCATTTTAAGTGTTCATAGAGTATTTATTTATACCTACTGGGTGCTAGGCCCTGCTAGGTGCAGGGCGAACAAAGGCACAGCCAACCCAGGCCAGCCTTATCCTTAGGAGCCTGTGACCGACTCAGCAGAGAATGGACCGCAAGGCTCTCTGCAGGAGGAGGCAGAGCCTGGGCATGGTTCTGAGGGATGGGTATGAGTTTCCCAGCAGGTGAGAACTCTTGGACCTAAAATGAGAGCCAGGCTGGTAACTAGCTTGAGTTAGGTTGCTGGGTGCTCCCCAAACATAAGAGACAGTGGAGAAGGAGGGGCTTACATTTGAGCTAAGAGTGTGGCATGGGCCGATGGGATTCAGCTGTTTTTTGCCGAGTCACCAGAGCTGGGAGCCCCAGGAGCAGGTCTGCCGGGGTGAGCAGACATCGGAGCCCTGCCAGTGGGGCCAGGAGATAAGGGTGTCTGGGCTGGTCTCATTAGGAAGCCAAGGAGGCCCTGAGGCCGAGGGTCGCTGCGGGAAATGACTTGCTCAGAGTTCGTGGACCTGTGGGTGTCCCTGGCAGTTTGTGATGACACATGGAGGGTGTGGCTGGCCGGGCTGACAGATGCTCCAGGGTGACCCTCAAAATAGACTGTAACTTCATCCCAGCGGTGGCGGCCTTTTGACATGTGATGGGTGGCTCTACCCAAGAACAGCAAGCCCGGGCTGGAGCACAGGATGGAGTTGTGGGGGTTCTCTGCAGTTGGCTCACAGGCCTTGAGCAGGGCCTCCGGCCACAGCCGCCACCTTTGCTTGCACTTGCAGGCTGACTTCCTTCGGCCAGGCAGCAGTGCATACAGCCATGAATTCCGTGTACCACAGCGAGGCACCCATTGTCTTACCCAGTTCTAGGCCTGGGCCCCAGGAGCACAGGCGTGAGGTCCGCTTAGAGAGCAGGCAGATATACCTGTACTTGAACTCACAGAGTGGTGAAGAAAAGGCCAGTCATGGTGTGTACTACACCCAGGAGGAACCCAGAGGTTGGACTTCCTCCTGTACCTGAGAGTTTGGGGAAAGCTTCACAGAGAGCTGATGATGCTAAATCTGGAAGGATGAGTTGGTTCCAGTGAATAAAATGAGAAACAGATGCTCCAGGCAAAAGGAACAGTGCATAAAAGATGTGGAACACAGAGAATGAATAGGCAGGGGCCAGATCAGAAATATCCTGTGTGCTGTGTGGGCAAGGAGCATGCATGGGCTTTATCCTGAGGGCAGTAGCAGGGTATGAGGACTTTGGATCTGTTTACACTTCCGAGAGTGGATGGGGGAGAAGAGACTTCTCTGGCCTGGGTGAGCCAGGCCCCTCTGGCTGAGAGCCCTGTCCAGCATGGGCCAGCGGCTTTAGGTGCTCGCCTCTGTGCCTGGTTTTCCGACAGCAGTTGTCTTTTCTCTTTCTTGGCTGGCCTTCGTTCTGCGGGGTGAGATGCAGAGGTGGGATGTTGAAAACTGGTAGCTGGAGAGGCTTCTCAGAGGTGAAAGGACTCTGCATATGCCGGTATTTCTGGCGTTTTGGTTTTGCCAAGACAGCAGTGAAAGACAACACTATCTGTGATTTTCTGTGGAACCGCAGAGAGCCGCTCGTTCAGTTAGGATCTCACCCACCACAGTTCTGGTGTAGCGAGCCACCAGAGCTCAGGTCCTCCTGTCCACGTCGGGACCGTGCCCCTGGGTCCCCCACTTCAATCTCGGTGCACTGGATAGTGCTGTTGAGAAGTGTGGCACTTCTCTGTGGACCTGGGAAAGGCCTCATTCTGCCTGCCCTGGAAAGTAGGTGCTGTCCTTGCCCAAGGCAGGTACAGGTGGCAGTTGTGCCCTGTTCTCCTTGACTGCCCCCAACACTGACGGCGTAATGGGGAGATGCTGAGCCTTGGACGGCGTCTCTCCCTAGTAACACAGTGCACTGTTACGGAGACACAGAGCGTTCGGGCTCCGGAGCATCTTGGAGCGTTGTATTGCTGCTTTGTGTTGGGGGTTAATCCCCAGGTCTGTTTGGCCACAGGGTGAGAGGCCTGGAGTCCACACCGTGTCTGTTTCTCTGGCAGGACCCAATCCTGCATTGAGCACGTCTGGGCCTCCTTGGGACCCCCCCCACCTCAACATATGTCACCATCTGATTTCCACTGCAGGCTGAGAGTGCGGTGTGTGTGGCTTTTTCCCTTATAGCTGGGGACTTCCTTGGTCAAGGATTAGCCTCTAGAGAAGTTTCTAAAATTCATTTCACACAACCCTCCCTGCTTCCTGCCCCCATTTCTTTTTTTGTTTTCTGGAATGTTTGGTCTTTTTTTGAGGTGGGTCA